ACATTATGATTCATAACAGTAGCAAAAGTACAGATATGATGTAGCAATGAAAATAATTTTATGGGTGGGGGTCACCACCACATGAGGAACCATATTAAAGGGTTGTGGCATTAGCAAGGTTGAGAACAACTTCATAGCTAGTGGTTGAGTGGCCTTAGCATATCATTAACATATTAGTCTTTGATTGGTCGAATGGCCATCTGGTTGACTGGACACTTAGCACATTAGGCTTTATTATATAGGACAGAAAACTAAGATACAGGCTCAACTGTGCAACAAGCACACACACATTTTTTCCCACTGGAATAAATTTATGAACTGATGCCCTAACTGGTTTGGCTCGATGGATAGAGCATCGGCCTGTGGATAAACAAGGTCCCAGGTTTGATTCCAGTTAAGGGCATGTACCTTGATTGTGGGCACATTCCCAGGAGGAGGTGTGCAGGAGGCAGCTAATCAATATTTCTCTCTCATCAATGTTTCTAACTCTCTATCCCTCTCCCTTCATCTCTGTAAAAATTCAATAAATTGTATTTTTAAAAATTTATGAACTGGGAGAATCCAAGATAGCTGCACAGGTAAACACCTAGCCGCAGCCGCACACAACAATTTCAATAAAATACAACTAAAATATAAAATGGTCATTACCCAGAACTACAGGAAAGTCGACTGACTGGAAATTTTACAACAAGAAGCAAGGAGAAAACCAGAATGAAGCGCGGAGGAGCTGTAAAAGCCCAAGATACGGAGACACGCGGCGCGCAGAGAGGACGGAGCCAGAGAAGAGGGAGGCCAAGTGCCTGGCTGGCGTTCCCTAGCGGGAAGGAGATAAAAGCTCTGACTGTGCTGAACCCCAGACCCGACAGCGCTGAACCCCAGTTCTAGGCCAGACCCCGGGGACCCAGGCTCAAACAGAGGGAGCCAGGGCTGTGAGGCGGAATCCCAGGGGAGTGGTGAAAGGCAGAGCCCCCGGAGGTGCGCACATTATGCGCAGAAAAGGGACGGTTGGCAGGAAGGAGACAAAAGCCCCAGTCTGCTCTGAACGCCACCTCCAACTCCACTTCCAACTGAACTGTACCCCAATTCCAGGCTCATTGGGGGAGAGCCTAGACTGTTTGGTAGCAGGCGAAAATCGAGGGCATCTTTCTCTCAGAGGTGCTTGCAAGAAGTACTGAAGGACCCTGGGGATTACTGAGACTCAGGAGCCGCATAGGGCGTGACTGATGGAAGCCAAGGCTGTAGGCTCCTCCCTGAAACTCCGCCCCATCAGAGAAGCTGCAAAAATGCTGAGACAATGAAATAGATCACAAACGAAAGAAATGGAGGACAAAAAGCGACTGGATATAGAGTTCAAATCTATGCTTATAAGGTTTTTCAAGAATTTCCTAGAAAAGGTCGATAAGACCTATGAGGATATGAAAAGCGATCAACTAGAATTAATAAGGAATCAACAAGAAATAATAAGGGATCAACAAAAAATAATAAGGGATCAACAAGAAATAAAGACTACACTGTCTGAAATAAAAAATATTATACAGAGTCCTAAAAACAGAATGGAAGATTGCAAGAATCAAGTCAAAGTTTTGGAACATAAAGAGCCATAAGACACTCCTCTGTAGAGGCAAGAAGGCAAGAGAATCCAGAAAGTTGAAGATAATGTAAGAAACCTCTGGGACAACTTCAAGCGAACCAACATCAGAATTATGGGGGTCCCAGAAGATGAGAGAGAGCAAGATATCGAAAACATACTGAAAGAAATAGTGACAGAAAACTTCCCCCACCTGGTGAAAGAATTAGACCTACAAGTCCAGGAAGCGCACAGAACTCCAATCAAAAGGAATCCAAAGAAGACCACACCAAGACAAATCATAATTAAAATTCCAAGAGCAAAAGACAAAGAGAGAATATTAAAAGCAGCAAGAGCAAAGCAGGTAGGAGCACCCTATAAAGGAGCACCCATACGATTGTCAGCTGATTTCTCAACAGAAACCATGCAGGCCAGATGGGAATGGCAAGAAATATTAAAAAAAAATATTCAATAGTAAGAACCTACAGCCAAAAATAATCTACCCAGCAAAGCTATCACTCAGAATCAAAGGCCAGATAAAAAAAAAAGCTAAAGGAGTTCATCACCACCAAACCAGAATTATATGAATTGTTGAAGGGGGTTCTTTCGGAAGAGAAAGTAAATAAAGATAAAAATTATGAACAACAAATACGTAACTATCAACAAGTGAATCTAAAAACTAAGGAAATTAAAAAAAAATCTGATGAATAATATTAACTGTTGAATATAATAGAATCAGAGGTATGGAAGGGGAGTGAACTGATGATTCTTGGGGAAAAGGGGAGAGGAGGATGTGGGAAGAGACTGAATATAAACTGTGCACCTATGGATGAGGACAATGGGGGGTGGGGAAAGGGCAGAGGGTGGGGTGGGAACCTGGTGGAGGAGAGCAATGGGGGGGGGGGGGAGAGGAACATTTGTAATAATATGAACAATAAAAATTTATCTAAAAAAATTATGAACTGACATGTACAGTAGTTACATGTAATAAAATATTTCCTAACCTTTGTTTTTCTTTTATGGCTTTTAGGTAATGTCATTAAATTTTAACACAATTACCTTTCATTCATTCATTTGATAATAATTAATTTAATCCTTAGAATGTACCAGGAAATCGCTTCATGTGCTGGAGATACAGTTTTGACTTCAACAGTCCAAAGTCCTTGTGGTCACCTGTCTTACATTCTTCAGCGTTTATATGAATGACATGAGTGCCATTAGAGTTTTATACGTGAATAAATGACACAAGCTGACAAGTTAGCAGGATTGCTGACCCTTGTGGGGAGAACAGTCTCTGGGTGACAGGTGAGGTGGTGGCATTAGTGCCATAATCGGAAGGTGATAGAGACAAAGGGGAGAAGAGGCCTGAGGGATGGAGAACAGAAGCAGACAGGGAGGAAAGCAGCAGAGGTAGACATTCTAAAACAGTGGCACTCTCAGGTTTAAATATGTTGTTTTTATAGACCTACTGGCAGCCTGGTGCACGAATTCATGCACAGGTGGGGTCTGGCCAGCCTGCCCCAACGGGGGCCGATCAAGTCGGGTAGTGGGGAGGAGGGGCGGTCGGCCCTGACCAGGCTGGTTGGCCACTGCAGTGTGCGTCATTGGGACCCGTGGTTCTGGTCACTTGGCTTTTATACATGTAGACGAGAGGCCCGGAGCATGACATTCCTGCACGGTGCAGTCCCTGGGCCTGACCGCCATCGAAGCAGGAGGTCTGGTGTGGAAGGCAGGTCCCAGCTGACCTCTGGGCCCTGGGCAGCACCTGGGCACCCACAGCCCCGCTCCCCTGCCCGAGTCCCCAGGCAGAGATGCGGTGAGCGCAGCTGCACGCCATGGGCCTGGGCACAGTGTGGGCCTCTGGGCCACCCAGCCACACCGCACCGAAGCTGGGCGTGCAGCTGCGCTCACCCAGCTGGCCTCACAGACCGGCTCCTATGGGAACCCACGGGGAGCCCCACCGGCCCCTGTGGTCCCAGTGGCTGCCCAGGTGCAGGGTGGGCACCTGAGAGCGGGGCTTCCCTAGCACGTGTGTCCCGGGGAGGGAGCAGTGGGAGAGGAGCTCGGTGGACACCCCACATTCTCACTGCACCTCCATCCCTGTCACCCCGCCCCCAGGTAACCAATGAGAGGTCCAAGCGCTTAGTTGGAGGTTGGTCTGAGGTTGGTGGCCACCACCCACCCCCAGATCCCCATCCCAGCCTGGGCCCAGCCCCAATCAGGTGGCCAGGGCCTGCCGGCCACTGGTTGCCATCTGCAGGGAGGTCAGTGGGGCCGCCCCTCCCCCCGCCCAGCTCCCTCAGTGCCCCAAGTGAAGTCTCATCCATCACCATTTTCCCCTATACTCTCCACGTCCTGTCCTCCTCTACCTCCACTGGTTCCCTTCCCCGGTTGGTTGGCGCACAGGTAACACCAACAGGAAACCCCGCTGTGGGGCACCGCGAAGACAGAGACTTTCAGCTCAATTGTGACCATTGTGCTCTGGCCCGGGCAGGAGGCTTCGCTGTGCTCTGGTGAAACTTCCTCTCCACGGGGGGGGGGGGGGGGGGGGGAGGGGGGGAGGGGGATCCCAGAGCTAGGGCAGAGCTGGCTGTGTGCACAGAAGGCCCCATCCTGCAATCTCTACACGGTTGTCCAGTTCTCCCCCCTTTTTTCCTTTTTGCTCAATCGCAGCACATCACCCGCTCCCAAACCCCTGCCCCACAGCTGTCCGTGAGCTCTCCAGGACTCCATCTCTCCTGCTTGTGGCTCATTTGGCGCTGTAGCTGCCATCTCAGCCAACAGGACTGGCGCTTTCCTCATCCACTAGGAGGCGCACACCCGGACCAACCAGAGTGGCCCTGTTCTGTTCACCCACGGGGGAGGGGGGGGCTGGGAGTCCGCACCCGAACCGGCCGTGCGCACAGCCAGCTCTGCCCTGGCTCTGAGCCCCACCTCCCCGTGGAGAGGGGCTTCCGCGGAGCAGAGCGGAGCCTCCTGCCCGGGCCAGAGCACAATGGCCACATCCAGCTGTCTGGAGCTGAAAGCCTGTCTTCGCGGTGCCCCACAGCGGGGTTTCCTGTTGGCGGGAAGCGGAGACTCCCGGGCTGGCCTCCTCACCCGCCCCTGCGTCCGGCACGGAGCCAGGCGGCAGGGGCCGCGCGCACAGGGTCAGGGCCAGTCCCCGGCGCTCTGGGCTCAGGGTGGAGGATGGGCTGGAAAGTCCTTGGTGTTTCACTTTCTCTCAACGCCGTTTGTCCTCCTGCCGGAAACCCTGAGCGTCCCCAGCTCCCCTCCCATTGGGTGTCCGGGTCCCTGCACGCCCTCTCCGGGCCGGAGGTGCTCGGTTCGTGAGCCGCCCAGCGGGCGTCTCCCCGCCCTTCCCCTGAACTGTTCCACTTCCTGGATCTGCCCCGCCGCCGCCGCCGCCGGCTCCCTCCGCCTCCCCCGGAGAATGCGGGTCCAGAAGCCCCCAGCCCTCCTCCTGCTGGTCCTGGTGGAGGCCTGGGCCGGTGAGTGCGGTGGGAGGGAGCCGCCTCTGCCGGGAGGCGCGCGGGGACTCGGCTGGGACCCGACTAAGGCGCCCCTCCTGCCGCCGCCCAGGCCCGGCGCCCCGACTTGAGCCCCGCCCCTTTCCTGCCATCCACCCCACCCCCTGAGCTATCCCCCCCCCATGCCCCCACTCCCTGAGCTATTCCCCCCCCCCAGGCCCACAATCCTTGAGCTATTCCCCCCCCCCAGGCCCACAATCCTTGAGCTATTCCCCCCCCCCAGGCCCCCACTCCCTGAGCTACCCCCCCAGGCCCGCACTCCCTGAGCTCCCCCCCCCAGGCCCGCACTCCCTGAGCTATCCCCCCCCCATGCCCCCACTCCCTGAGCTATACCCCCCAGGCCCGCACTCCCTGAGCTCCCCCCCCCATGCCCCCACTCCCTGAGCTATACCCCCCAGGCCCGCACTCCCTGAGCTCCCCCCCCCAGGCCCCCACTCCCTGAGCTATACCCCCCAGGCCCCCACTCCCTGAGCTATTCCCCCCCCCCAGGCCCGCACTCCCTGAGCTATCCCCCCCCCATGCCCCCACTCCCTGAGCTATCCCCCCCCCCAGGCCCCCACTCCCTGAGCTATTCCCCCCCCCAGGCCCGCACTCCCTGAGCTATCCCCCCCCAGGCCCGCACTCCCTGAGCTACCCCCCCCCAGGCCCCCACTCCCTGAGCTATCCCCCCCCCCCAGGCCCCCACTCCCTGAGCTATCCCCCCCCCCCAGGCCCCCACTCCCTGAGCTATTCCCCCCCCCAGGCCCCCACTCCCTGAGCTATCCCCCCCCCCCAGGCCCCCACTCCCTGAGCTATTCCCCCCCCCAGGCCCCCACTCCCTGAGCTATTCCCCCCCCCAGGCCCCCACTCCCTGAGCTCCCCCCCCCAGGCCCGCACTCCCTGAGCTAACCCCCCCAGGCCCGCACTCCCTGAGCTATTCCCCCCCCCCAGGCCCGCACTCCCTGAGCTATTTCTACACCGCGGTGTCCGGGCCCGGCCGCGGGGAGCCCCGCTTCATCGCCGTGGGCTACGTGGACGACACGCAGTTTGTGAGGTTTGACAGCGACTCCGCGAGCCGGAGGATGGAGCCGCGGGAGCCGTGGATGCGGGAGCCGTGGGTGGAGCAGGAGGACCCGCGCTATTGGGACGTGGAGACCAGGAACATCAAGGAAACCGCACAGGCTTTCCGCGCGACCTTGAAGAACCTGCGGGGCTACTACAACCAGAGCTGGGAGGGTGAGCCGCGGTGCCCCCATCCCCTCGGAGAGTCCGGGTGCAGCCCCACCCGAGGCTGCGGGACCCGCTGGTCCCTCCCCCTCCCGCTGCTCCCCCCCGCCCCACCGGGGAGGAGCCTTCCGGGAATCGTGACTTCTCTTTCGGTTCACGTTTAATCCCCGCGGGGCGGGGCGGGGCGGGGCTGACCGCGGGGCGGGGCGGGGCTGACCGCGGGGCGGGGCGGGGCTGACCGCGGGGCGGGGCGGGGCGGGGCGGGGCTGGAGGCGCGGCTGACCGCGGGGCGGGGCCAGGGTCTCACACGTTCCAGTGGATGTACGGCTGCGAAATGGGGTCGGACGGGCGCTTCCTGCGCGGTTATGACCAGTTCGCTTACGACGGCACCGACTACATCTCCCTGAACGAGGACCTGAGCTCCTGGACCGCGGCCAGCGGGGCGGCTCAGTATTCCCGGCGCAGATACGAGAACGTGGGTGAGGCGGAGGTGCAGAGGAACTACCTGGAGAGTGTGTGCATGGACTGGCTCCGCAAATACCTGGAGAAAGGGGACATTCTGCAGCGCACAGGTGCCAGGGCCGAGGGCTGGGCCTGCGAGGGGGGGAGGAAATGGGGTCAGCCTCAAAATAAGGCCCGCCTTGCGTGGGGAGACCGAAGCCCCCGTAGCAGAGTACCCGCAGCTTTCTCTTCGGGAAAGGAGCGGGGACCACCCCTGAAATAATCGATCAGGCTCCCATGGGCCCCGCGGTGGCTCTGGGACCCACGGGGACCCTCTCTCTCAGGCCTTGCTCGCTACCCCTCGCCCACTGGGTCCGAGGTCTGACCTCGGCTTTTCTGAGTCACTTGGCTTCCACCCAGGTCAGGACCAGAAATCCCTTTTTCCCCTCAGAGACCCGCCTCCTGCCCTGGGCTGTGTCTGTCTGATTCTAGAGCTTTCTGAAGCCTAGGAGGTCCTTCCAGCTGCCCCAGTTCAGCCTGGTGTGTGGCTGTGTGCTCCTTCCCTCGCCACAGGGGCCTTGTCCAAGGATGGTCACGTGGGCGCAGCTGGAATGGCCCGTGATCGATGCCAAGTTCCTGAATATCCTCACCTTTCCCTCAGAGCCTCCCAAGGCACACGTGACCCACCACCCCGTCTCTGCCCGGGAGGTCACCCTGAGGTGCTGGGCGCTGGGCTTCTACCCTGCGGACATCAGCCTGACCTGGGAGCGTGACGGGGAGGAGCAGACCCAGGACATGGAGCTGGTGGAGACCAGGCCTGCGGGGGACGGGACCTTCCAGAAGTGGGCTGCTGTGGTGGTGCCCCCTGGAGAGGAGCACAGATACACGTGCCATGTGCAGCATGAGGGGCTGCCCAAGCCCCTGACCCTGAGATGGGGTGAGGAGGGCCGTGGGCACAGAGCTTCCTCTCAGGGCAGCGGGGCCCTGGGGGACCTCAGTGGAGTGAGGGCTGAGGCCTGGAGTCAGGGCCCTCACCCTCCCTTCCCTTCTCCTCCCAGAGCCGCCTTCTCACACCATCTTCATCATCCTGGGCATCGCTGGGGGCCTGGTCCTGCTGGGAGCTGTGGCTGGAGCTGTGATGTTGGGGAGGAGGCGCTCAGGTGGGCAGGGGTGGAGTCTGAGTGTCTGTCCCACTGGGGGTTCAAGCCCAGGAAAACATGTGTCCCACTTCATCACGGGAAGCACCAGCCCCCCACTGTGCTGGCCGTGTGGGCCGTGTTTGCTCACTAACTCTCAGTAAGGCCCGTGTGAGAATGAGGCACAGACTCATCACCTGGTGATGCTAGTGGTGGAGGCCAGGTCAGAGGGCGGGTCCCTGCGGAGGGCAGTTGGTCCAGTCCCCACGTGTACTTTCCTCAGGTTTCCTGATCCTGCCATAGATCTGGAAACTTCTCTGGGCCCAGGACTAGGGCTTCCTTTAGGACCTCAAGGCCCTGCCTCCTCCATGGTCTCACAGGGTGTTTGCTTCCCGCAGGTGGAAAAGGAGGGAGCTACTCGAAGGCTACCAGTGAGTATGGAGGGGTGACCCCTGAGGCCTGTGACAATGCAGACGGGAGCCCGTGGGGATCCTCACCCCATATTTCCTCCTGTAGTCTCCTGTCCTGGGGGCTCTGACCACATCATGTCTTGTTCTACCCCAGACAGTGACAGTTCCCTGGGCTCTGATATGTTTCTCAAGGCTTCTAAAGGTGAGACCTGGTGGGGGAGGGAGTGAGCAGAGGGGGGGGTCTGGGTAATGGAGTTTCTCTGGGACGTTTTGAGCATGAAGTAGACTTTGGAGAACGTCACCAGTTACAGTGACTGACTTGTATTTGTTCATGATTATTTTCTTCTACAGCCTGAGGCATGTGCCTTGTGAGGACTGAGTGATGAAAGATTTGCTGAGGCCCCAACTTCCTGCCTCAAGAAGTAGATAGATCTGTGGACTGAAGGGTCCCAGGTTCCATTCTGGTCAAGGGCATGCACCTTGCTTGCAGGCACATCTCTAGATAAGGCCCTCACTCCCTGATCTATCCCCCCAGGCCCTCATTCTCTGATCTATACCCCCAGGCCCTCACTCCCTGATCTATTCCCCCCTCCCCCAGGCCCGCACTCCCCCAGATATTCATACACCTGCCCCCCAGGCCCGCACTCACTGAGATATTCACACACACACCCTTGGCCCGCACTTCCTGAGATATTCCCCCCCCAGGCCTACACTTCCTGAGCAATTTCTACACCGCAGTTCCTTTCTCTATAAAAAAAAAAATCAATAAAATAAGAAAAAGAACCTCTGCTTAGCCCTAGCCAGTTTTGCTCAGTAGTTGGAGCGTCAACCTACAAACTGAAGGGTTCTGGGTTCCATTCCTATCAAGCCCTTGGTTACATGCCTGAGTTACAGGCTCGATCCCCAGTATGAGGCATACAGGAAGCAGCCAATGATTCTCTCTCATCATTGATGTTTCCATCCCTCCCCCTTTTCCGTCCTCTCTGAAATTAAAAAAAAGTGTGTACACACACACACACACACACTGGAGGCCCGCTGCATGAACATTCGTGCAATAGGCCTTCCTTCCCCTGGCTGCTGGCACTGGTTTCCTCTGGCACCCAGGACCCAGGCTTTCACTCCGGCCACAATGGAGAAGCCCTGCCTCTTCAGTCTTCACTCAGACCAGAGCCTTCAGTCTTCGCTCTGTGCCTGCATATGCAAATTAGTCCACCATCTTTGTTGGGTTAATTTGCATAATCACTCCTGATTGGCTGATGGGGTATGGTCAATTTCCATTTCTCTTATTAGTGTAGATATATAAAGAACTTCTGCTTAGGCCCAACTGTTGTGGCTCAGTGGTTGAGCATCAACTTATGAACCAGGTGGTCAGGGTTCGATTCCTGGCCAGGGCACATGCCCATGTTACAGGCTTGGTCCTCAGTGGGGGGCCTGTAGGAGGCAGCAGATTAATGATTCTCATCATTGATGCTTCTATCTCACCTCCCTCTCCTTTCCTGTCTGAAATCAATCTATATATATATATATCAATCGATATATATATAAAAGGCTAAGGTGCTAAGTGTCCTTCCCACTGCCTGCACACTGTCCACCAGGGGGCAGACGCTCAACGCAGGAGCTGCCGAGCTGCAGTGACTTGGCAGGCGGTTCTCAGGTGCCGCACCGGGAACCAGAGAGGAGGGAGCCGGCTTCCTCCCGGGCCGCTCGATTCCACCTTCGGCCGTGGGTTATGTTGTTGCTGGGGCAGGTGGGCCCGAATCTGGTTACTGCACACGTGTGTTTGTGTTCCACACCCTGCGTGATAGCAACTTTGCAGAGTGCCCTCTCGCACTCCGGGACCCCTGGGGGGATGTCGGAGAGCCGGTTTCAGCCTGATGCCCGCAGACCAGGCGGAGGGATTCCACCTGCCAGAGGGACCCCCTCACTCCACAGCTGCCTTTCAGCCACGATGCTTCCCCAGGTGCGGCCGGCCTGGGAGGGACCGAGGAAGGTTGGCTCCAGGGTGTGTCCCGCCCATCTCTCCCAGGCCTGCCCCACCGGCCACCGTCTAATTGATTCCCTTTCAGTGTGCATGAATTGATGCACCGGCCACTAGTAGCATGTAAAGAAACTGACTGAGGCTGGCACACCCGTGCCCCCCACGCCTCCTCCCCACACTTTTCCCAGGGCTGGGAAGTAGGAGAGGGGAAGGGAGGAATGGGAGATGGGATGAGATGGCCCAACATGCGGGACGGGTGCCACAGAGGGAGCCTGGAGACAGGGCCCTGAGGGTACAGCAGGAGGAAAGGAGAGCTTGCCAGCTGGGGCAAGGAGGTCACGTGAAGGGGCCTTGCCCATGGAGTGGGGTGGGTGAAGAATCCGGGATGGGAGGGGTCATGGCCAGAGGGCTGCGGTGCAGAGGTGGTGGTGGAGGGACGGGAAGGGGCTGCTGCCTGTGGCGGAGGTCCGCGGGGAGGGTGGCGGGGAGGGGTGGCAGGGAGGCGAGGGCCCCAGGGGCTGTGCTGTGGCCTAAGGGGTTTGGGGCGGACAGGTCCCCCTGGGAAGTGAAAGTGTCAGCCTGGGCCCAGGTGAAGAGCAGATGGACCTGCCAGTGTCCCGGGGACAGGCGGGTGGAGGGGTCTCAGGGAGGCAGGCGCTGTGCCCAAGGGTAGTTTAGGGCTAGAAAGCGGGAGGACAGCAAGGGAAACAACTCACACGCCCAAGCCAGGCAGGCTGGGTGCGCGGTGGGGCAGTCCCCCATGCAGAGGCTGAGGGTTGGCCCTCGGCACGGGAGGCGGAGTGTGGGAGAGGCCTGCGCCAGGAAAGCCAGAGCTGACCAAGTGGCATAAGGAGAATTCTCAATACTTGGTGTAGGGAGTGAGGCCACCGGTCTAGGAGCCGATGGGTGAGAGGGGGAGGTCAGGGCCAAAGGAGCGTTGGACCAAGAAAGTAAGAACAGAGCTACCGATGCCTCATTATCCCTGTTCTGGGCATCTGCCCCCAGGTTTGCAAACACTTGGAAAGACATATGGACAGTACTCCTGTGTTCACGGCAGCATTACTCCAATAGGAACACGTGGAAACAGCCCGGGTGTCCTATTTAGCCTCCCGGAGCCACAGCGGGTGGACAGACGCCCGCTCCTACGACGAGACCTCTGAGCCCTCTCCCCGTGGTGGCTGACAGAACCTTGTTCTGAAGAGCTGAGAGGGTGAGCTGGCCCCCCAGCAGCGCCCTCAGGCCTCGGAGGAAGAGCTCGCGGCCTGGGCTCTCCTCTCACCTAAGAGAGCCTGAGCCAGGGGAGGTGGGGAGGGAGTTAGACCACAACCTTCCTCTTTCCTCCAGGGGAGGAGCAAGAACACACCCCAGATCCACCCACTTCCTCCCTGTGTGCCTGTGAGCACACTGGCTGCCAGTCATATGCCTGGCTCATCTGGCTCCCCTTTCAGGTGCGGGGTAGGGTTGAGGCTGGGGGGAGGTGGGCTATTTCTATGCACAGAGAATGGGCACACCCCTCCTCCTTCCTCTCCCCCACATTTCTCACTGGGAGCAGAACGGACTTTAGGCGGAGTGCTGAGGGGCCACGGTGGGCCTGAGGCACAGGAGAGAGGGGCGGTGGGAGGGAAGAGGGCAGGCTGGAATTGTTTCCTGCCAGCCCTCAGGTCAGGGTCTGGGCGCCAGCAGGTCCCCTTTTGTCCTCTCATGGGCCTAGGATGGGTGTGAGCCAGGAATGCAAGGACCGAGGATCCTTTCCTGGCCCCATCGCTCAAACCCAACAGAGTGCCCAGCATGAGGCCTTCCCCCTCCTCCCCCGCCACAGACACCCCTGTGCGCGGGCGCCCACGGAGCAGGAGGCAGCCGAGGGGCAGAGAGGGCCCTTTCCACTTCTTTGCTAATCAGATGTCCCACCCTGAGCCGATGCAGGTGGGGAGCAATGAGATCCTTAGGTCTTAACTCCAGTTCTGCTCCCACCAATAGGGTCCTGAGTGGTTACTGTAGGCAGCCTCCCGCTCTCCCTGGCCCAGGATCCCAAGCCTGAAAAGGGAGAGGCTAAGTGCAGTGTTTTCCTTTGCACTGCTCCCTGGTTCCATCAGGAGGTGCTTGGTGACCCCTCTCCCTCAGTATCCTGTGCCTCAGGCTCTCGAAGGCCACCTGGCCAATGCCCTCGAGTGCCCTGACCCCAGCCTCCCAAGACCAAGATGCCCCTCCCCACTCTGCCGCCACTCTCCCACTATGTGCTGTGTGCCCAGGCATTCCACATGCACACCGATGGGCCTCCCTTCCTTGTGGGATCCAACACTCACATACGGGCTAGGCCAGAGCAGGGTAGCATGGAAGTGAAATTGTTCCATAGTCAAAAGAAAGCTTTCCAGGCAAGGCACATGCCTGGAGTTTGGGCTCGATCCCCATTAGGGGGTGTGCAGGAGGCAGGCGATCAATGATTCTCTCTCATCATTGATGTTTCTGTTTCTCTCTCCCTCCCCCTTCCTCTCTGAAATCAATCTATATATATAAAAAGCCAGTAACCAGAGCACCGTAACAACCAGTCACTATGACACCCACTGCAGCTAGTGAACAGGCTGATGAGGGGGGGCCGGCCACAGCTCCGCCCCCCTGGCCAACCTGCCCCTTATAGGCCCCCACCACCCCAATTGGCCTGTGTCCCCTCCCCACCACCAGCTCTGCCCGGGATCAGGGTCAGAGCCAACCAGCCAACCACCCAAGACCCCTTCCCCAGGCGGCTTGCTGCTGATCGGCCCCCCAACCCCATTTGGGGGCGGGGCCAGCCAGTACACCCTCCCTGTCCCTCCCCATGGCTGTCCCCACCCCCAATGGGCCCCTACTGCAATGGGGGTTAGGGCCTGTGGCCAATTGGACATGGCCCCTCCTCCCAGCCAGCCCTGTCTTGATTGGGCCTTGATTGGGGTGGGCTGGCCAGCCAACCTCCCACCATCTCCTCCTTCTGACAAGCCCAACCTAATTGGTAGAACTTGTGCGCTGGGCCTCTAGTAAGAATATATTTTAAAGTAAATAATATATAAACAAATAAGAAATCTAATGAACAAAATAAACTGGTGAGTGAAATAGAATCAGAAGGGTGGAAGCATGGAACAGACTGACTAATCTCAGAGGGAAGAGGGGAGGTGGGTGGGAAGATATTAACCAAAGATCTTACTTGTGGATATAGGCAGAGAGTATTACAGATGTCCCCCTTTTTTCACCTGGTTCCTGCCCACGAAAAAGGGGGCCATCTGTAATACTCTCAGCAATAAAGATTTTTAAAGAAGTTTCGCCGCCGAGATCGGTTTGACTCAGTGGATAGAGCATCGGCTTGGGGACTGAAAGGTCCCGGGTTCGATTCCGGTCAAGGGCATGTAC